AATCGTGACAGTGTGGTACCGGTAGAGGACAAACTCATAGATAAAGAAATACAACAGGGAACCAAGAAACAGTTCCACACAAAAAAACAACTAATATTTGAAAGACACAAAAGCAATTAAACGGAGGAAGGATGTCCTTTTCAAGAAATGGTAGTGGTGCAATTAAGCATCTACAGACAGAAAAACAGTAAACCCTGACCTAAACATCACACCTAATATAAATGTTAACTCACAATGGGTCACGTATATATACATAAAATATAAAAGTATAAGACTTTTAGCGGGGGAAAAAAGCACAGGAGAAAAACCTCAGGACTTAGGGCAAGGCAAAGAGTATTTAGAATTAACATCAAAAGCATGATTCATAAAAGGAAGAGTTGATAGAAAGATCTCATCAAATTTTAAAAATTTTGCCCTTCGAAAGAACCATGAAAAGGGTTTTTAAAAACTAGGTACAGACTGGGAAAACATATTTGTAAACCACAGATTTAACAAAAAACTTGTATCTAGGATACATAAAAAGCTCTCAAAACACAACAGTAAAAAATGAAAAAAAGAAAAACCTCCAGTGAGAAAATGGGCAGAAGATAGGAACCGACATTTCACTGAAGAGGTCTTGCACACGGCAGACAAGCATATGAAAATATATTCAGCATCACCAGCCATTAGAGAAAAGGTAAATTGAAACCAAAATGAGATACCACTGGACACCTCTCAGAAAGGCTGAAATAAAAGATACTGATAACACCAAATGCTGGTGAGGATATATAGAAAATGCATCACCTTTGCATTGCCAATGGAAATATAAAATGATACAGCCACCGAGAAAATCAGTCTGGCAGTTTCTTAGAAAACTAAACGTACATTTATTATGCAATCCAGTAGTTGCACTCTTGAGCGTTTGTTCTAGAGAAATAAAAACTTACATTTACACAAATATCTGTGTGGGAACGTTCATATCAGTTTTATTCATAATAGTCAAAAACCGGAAACAAACCAAATGTCATTTAACTTATGTTTAAAGAAAACTGTTACAATCCTGCAATGGAATATACACAGCAGTTCAAAGAAATAAACTCTTGGTGCACACAATAGCTTAGAAGAATCTGAAGGGTATTATGCTGAGAGAAGTAAAGCCAGTCCTAAAAGGTTATACAGCATATTGTTATGAATCCATTTATATAACATTTAAATAACAAAATTGTAGCAATGCAGAACAGGTTAGTGTTTTTCAGAAATTAGGGATAGAGATTGAGAGGTGGGTGAGGCTATAAAAGGAAAGCATGAGGAAAGCTTGTGATAAATGCAACAGTTCTTTAAATTGATTGTGGAGGTAGTTACCCAAATCTACACATATGACAAAGTAGCATAGAGCTACACACACACCAAAACAAAGTGCATGTAACATTGTGTAATCTTAGCAAGTTGTGTGAATTGTACCAATGTGAATTCTTAGGTTTTTATATTGTACTATAATTAATCGAGATGTTACAATTAGGGAAAATTAAGTGAAATGTACACGGTGTCACACTGTAGGCTTTCATTTCTAAACTCCCATTGAATCTACAATTATATCAAAACAAATTTTTTAAATAAAAAGAAAGGCAAAATAAAGATATTTTAAGACAAACATACAAAAAGAAATAAGAATAACAATAATTATAATGATAGCAAATATATATGAAACACCTGCTATATGCTAGACACCATTCAAAGCCCTTTACAAATAATAACCCATATGATCCTCACAGAATTCTATAATGTTGATAAAATAATCAACATTTTTATGATTTAGAAAGCTAAAATATTGAAGTGATGCCAATAATATTCAAACAGTAGCTTAAGGAGAATTTTCTAAGATTAAACAATGTAAAAAAACAAAGTAAATTTCACAAGTATAGCTATTAATATTTAAGAGATTTTAAGATACTAAGATTAAAGAGCAAAAATACTAGACAACTAGTTAAAACATAGGTGAGAGATAAAATATATATTATCATTGATAAATACAAAAAATAAAAACAGTAGATACTAAGATTAAAGAGCAAAAATACTAGACAACTAGCTAAAACATAGGTGAGAGATAAAATATATATTATCATTGATAAATACAAAAAATAAAAACAGTAAATAGAACATAAAGGTTTCAAAAGTTAAATGGGCAAAGAAAGGAAAAGCCAGATCATCTACAAGATAAAGTACCTAAGAACCCAGACTTGGGGAATAGAGAAGAAATAGGCTTGTTCCTTTCTTTGCCAATTATCTTGGCAGAGTTTTTATTTCCTTAGATGCAATACTTACCTCATGGAGATTAATGTGCTAACCACTTGTCTTGGTCCATTTTGTGCTGCTATAACAGAATAACACAGGCTGTGTACTTCATAATAAACAGAAACTTACTTAGCTCAGGTTCTGAAATCTGGAAAATCCAAGACCATGGTGCTGGCATCTGGCAAGCCCAACAGTTGGGTCTTCATACTACACCATCCCACTGGGAAAAGTGGAAGGGCAAGAGAGAGGGAAAGCAGAGAGCAAGAAGGAGCAAACTCACTTTTATCAGAAATCCACTCTCTAGATAACTAACACACTACTGCAATACCGATATTACCTCTTATTAGACCCTATCCCTCAACACTGTTGCATTGGGAATAGTTTCCAACACATAAACTGGGGAAATATATTCAAACCATAGCACCACTTGATAAATAATAGTTATCTTTGCCTTAAAAAATGGAATATAACTATCCAAATATGTTCAAATTCAATAGCAAGCAAAAATGCAAATAAAACTTTCAATGAATTATCATTTCTGGTCTGTCAAATGGCAAAGATATTTTTAAATAGAAATACCTAATCCCATAGCAGGTGCAATAAGTTATGTGTAAGGGGAAATTATGCATCATTTTTGAGTGCAGTTTTATGAGTCACAAAAATCTGCAGTTGAAATTCTAAGAATCTATCATCAAAATAAAGATTGCAAAATGAAAGTAAAACTTATGTACAAAAATGTCTGTAACAGTCTCCTTATAATATTACATTAGAAAAGCCTAAATAGCCAATAATATTAAAAACACTACTATGAAATATTATGCAACAATAAGAAATTACATTTAGGACAAGATTATGCACTTAATAATGTTACTGTCCATAAGGTTCTGTAATCTTCTTTCCTTGACTAGCAGTATTTGGTGAAATTGTTCATTCATAATATAGAGAGATTTAAATGATGAATTCCTACATAAATCTTGTAGTTTCATTGCAGAGTTTATTTCCTCAAGCCTGCTTCTTTAAGCCCTTTTTTCCATAGCATTGTAATTGTGTATATACAATGTTAAAACTCAATTTCACTTGTTTCTTAAGTGTACAGTTTATCATATATTCTCAATCAATTATATTTAAGTGTGCTCTTTTAACATAAGATGTGGAATGTAAGACAATTGGAAAACAAAAAAAAATTCTAAAGAATAATCCCAGTTAGGACAAAACCACTGATAAACTTCTTAGTGTAATGCCTTATGTTCTTTATTCTACATATATATTTTTTCAGAATTGATCAAACTATGTATAAAATCTAAAATTTGTTGTTTTTCACTACATATTATAAAATAAACATGTACCAGGGTGCTTCAAAAAGTCCTTGGAAAATAGAATTAAAAGATAATTGGAATCTGTCCATGAACTTTTTGAATGCCTCTATACCTATGGGTGTATATATGTACATATATGTATATCGTATGATCATATTAACAAGATAGATATAATAGATAAATAGCCATCCATAGTTGGAAATACAAACACAGACTCAGTTTCAGATACAGATGCAGACACAGATACAGATATTGATGTATATGAATACAGACACAGATATATGGTTATACATGGTAACGTGTTAATAATAAATAGCTTGGGGACTGCCAATTTATCAATATATTTCTTTTTCATTTTTTTCACATTTCTAATTTTTGCTACATAGTTCTTTTAAAAAATTATATTAAAAGAAATATGGATGTGTTTTTCTCATAAGGGAAGTATCAAATAAAAAATACCTTATGTAATAACTTGGTTAAGGAAGGTGTTACAGAGGAGACAATATGATAATCTGATCTGTAAGGAGAAATAAAAGTTCTCAAAAATCAAGAGAGGTTATTTCAAAACAAACAGAGATACATGAAAAGTCTGGCATGATCTGGGAAAGTTGAGAAGTTAATGGCCTGGTGTATCTGAAGCTCGGGTTGCCTAAAAAGATATGGAAAGTGTGGCTTGTAAAGAAAGTCAGGAATCTGTCTCTGAAGTCCTTAATGCCCTCCTGAGGAGGAGATCATTGGCAAACCTGGTCTGACATCGAGACTGGAGGAGTTCCCCTTCCTCAGCATTCCCCCAGCATACACCACCCCTTCAGAAACCACATTAGTCATTTCCCCACACAAGAAGGATTAGTCCCCCAGCCCCCTTAAAGGTTGTTCTGCAAACTACAAATCACGAAACTCATTTACATTCCCCTTTATCAGACATGCATGTTGATAGGATATAAATTAGAATAGGAATGACAGTAAAGGGCAGGAATCACTGATTCTAAGAATGCCACCAAGCTAGAACGAAGAGCATAAAGGAATGGAGTTTTGCATGTGATTGTCTAGGTATGTCACGAGGTGTCTCAGAACTTGAGAAACTCGGTGAAGAATAACTGAACAAATTTCAAGACCAGAGCATTGGTCTCCTTTTGTCTATTACCAAAGATCAGGATATATTGACATGAAAGATGCATAACTACTGGAAAAGAATGGATCCAGTAAGGGTCTCAATGCAGGAGGTAGCTTGCCAGTCAACCATGGCACTGCCCTCTCTATTACTTTGACAGAAGATAAGTCGTACAACCCTACTGGTGTGTTTGTTTTAGATACAAAATTCATTGAACTATTTCCTACTGTTTTAGCTTACCACTTTACCCACCACTTCAACAGAACACTACAAAGAGAGCTGGATATTCTGAAACTCTGTTCCTATTCCAAAATTATATTTGCTTTGGAAAAAAATATGTGAGCCAACTGCTCCCGGATTTGCTTGGTCTTCATTCCATAAATGATGGGATTCAGCATAGGTGGAAGCAGAATGCAGACATTAGCCAACAAGATGTGAATATGAGGTGGAATGTGGCGTCCAAACCGCTGAGTGAGGGTTGTGAAGATTGCAGGCCCATAAAATAGGACGATGATGCAGACATGGGAGGCACATGTGTTGAGAGCTTTGTGGCGAGCATCTTGGGAAGGCATGTGGAAGACAGCGTGGAGAATCAGCACATAGGAAACAAAAATTAACAGAACATCTAAGACCACTGTTGACATTATGACAAAAAGTCCGTACCATATGTTCACTCGAATGTCATTACAAGCATATTTGGCCAAGCCAATGTGCTCACAAAGGGTGTGAGGAATAATATTATTTTGGCAGAAAGTCAATCGTTTCAAAAGAAATATTATGGGGAAAATTGTACAATAGCTTCTGAGAAAGATGATTACACCAATTTTTCCAATTAGAGCATTTGTAAGAATAGTGGTGTATCTCAGTGGGTAGCATATGGCAATGTAGCGATCAAATGCCATCACCAGCAAGATCCCCGACTCAGCGATGAAAGTGCAGTGGATGATAAAGAACTGAGTAATGCAGTGATCCAGGGAGATCTCCCCAGCACGGAACCAGAAGATGGCTAAGGCCTTAGGAATTGCGGTGGTGGACAGGACAAGGTCTGCTCCAGCCAGCATGCAGAGGAAGAGGTACATGGGTTCATGGAGACTGCTCTTTGTCAGGGTAATGAAAATGAGCAGGCTATTCCCAAGCAGGGCAATGACATAGGAAATGAAGAAGGGAATGGAAATCCACATGTGCTTGTCTTCTAGACCAGGGATGCCCAGCAAGCGGAAGATTGTGTGGCTAACACCAGTGTGGTTTAAGGTAGTCATAACTGGGGAGACCAGGAGAAACTTCACCTCCTCTTCAGAGATATAGAGGAAAACACAAATTTTCCTATATTATCTTTGTGACTATGTTCATAGCATATTTCACACTCTCCATCTTCATAGAAATGTAAATAAGACACATAAAAGGTAAATAGAATATGTTCTCTGCACCGGACGAGTGACAGCCACTTAAAAGATATACATATCTACAGATAATCAAAGTAAAACCTATTATTATATGTATTTCTCCTACAAACTGAGGATTATGAATACACAGAGGAAATCATTATGTGTGTCTGAGAAGGCTATAACTTGAACTTGAACTTGAATATGTAATGGAGTAGTTTATTATAAGGTGACAAATGAGAGGAAGCAATATACGAAGAGGCGGGTGATAAAATCAAACTATAGCATATTCACGAAACAGCGTTCAGCCCAGGGTGGCTGGTTCATGGTGAGTACTGAAGAGAGCAGGGAGGTGCTTATACAGGTATAATTGGCCTCACTGATGGAAATGAGATTTTAAAATCTCTTTCATATCACCTCATACAGTTTGCTCACTAGTGAAGACTTTTAAGAAGAAACATTGACAGGATCTGTGTACCTGAGGAAGAGGCCAGAGAAGGCATAATTCAAAAAAAGCGAGGCTAGAGAGGAGGACTGATTGCAGAAGCTGACAAAGGCTGTGTGTATGGGTAAAGGGAATAGCTGGGTAAACTTTATTAAACGAGGCTGGAGACAGAATCCGGGGGGGTCAGGTGTCAGGAACTTGCCTGTGGCCTCCTAATAGTGACTTTGGTCTAACACGAATTCATTCTAAATGTCCCAGTAAATGCCTCCTCCCGCTGATCTCTTCTCACACCTGCCCAAGACACCCTGGTCCATTCCCTAAGCCCCTTTCTAACCCTGATCTGTGCAGCCTGGAACAGATCCCTGTCATTCTCAGGCTCCTTCTCATATTTTGCCAAGAAAAGTCTGCAGTATAAGTCAGTGAGTTTTATCTTTTCTCATGCCCAGTCTAATTGTTAGGACCCTTGTCATATACTGGAAATTTCTCTTTATTTACCAACTTCATTAACTTCAGCTAGCCCATATAACCCCAACTTCCTTTAACAGATCTCACTCTCCATGTTTGCAATAACCAACCAGATTTGAGCCTCTGCTTTTACCATTCTCAATACCTTCCAAGAGTCCTGTCACCTCTCTCCCACATGGTGACATAGCACAAACCCAGTCCTTACCATGATCCTGGATCCACCCCTATCCACAGATGTCTAATTTACTCACCAACCTTAGACTGAGTCTTCAGGAACAGACATGAGGTTGGCAATGAAATTCAGCTTGTTGGGGGCCAAGCACTTGGGCTGTTTATCCTCTTTCATGAGACCCCTTGAGGGAAGCACTTACGCCTGTCTCCAGAGACAGTGCTCCACAACCAGCCTCGCCCTCTTCCCAAATGGCCCATGTCCTGGGTCCTAAGATCATTTGTCCCCCTCCCTAGATTTCTCCTGACTATTTCCTCTCCTGCTCCTCCCCACATGCTCTGATTGCCATCCCACACTGAGTGGACATTTATGATGTTTCAACACAAACAACCTCTCCCAGCTAGCCCAGCCTTGCTACAAACCTGTTTTAATGCCTTAATTGGCATTACATATTGGATTAAATGAATGAAAATTAAAGTTTTTAAATCTACAATATCAATGCATGCAATATGTGAAAAAATGATTTAGAATTTTTTTCTTCATGTAATGGATTATGTTACAGTTATATTCATCCATGGGTGATCAGAGGATTCAAATTAAGAGTCATAAATGATGAGTTTTATTTCTTAAGGGCACATAAAGGTCCATGAACAACAATTTGTAAAACATATGTAACTCTTGATTGTGATACTTTCTTATTTCATTTTCCCACCTAGCATATCATTCTCTTTAGAACTTAGTCACAATAAATCCACATTTATGAATGTTGGGGGAAAAGTTTCCTTTTAGTATGTTCTTTTATAAGAAATTTCGTCCAGATTTTACATATGCCAAATTATGTTGTAAACTCTGTTTTAACTTGAAAATAACTTTACATTGTAACTGATTATAAGAGTAATCTTGCACATTATTTTCAAAAATCAGATAATATAGACTGGAAGAAGAAAGTAACCTCACCTTCAGAAAACTAGTGAATGTTTTCATATAAATACATGCAAATCTATTTTCCTAGCTTGCCCTCATAGTTTATGCACTTCTGGATTTTTATTAATTCATTACATAGTTAATTATATTAAATTAATACATCTTATTACTTCATATGTCTTTGTGGCTAGAATTAGCACATTTTTCCAGTAACAAACGAGCAGAAAAAAAATCGAGAAACAAGCCCATTTACAATAGTCACCAAAAAAATAAAATACCTAGAAATAAATTTAACCAAGGAGGTGAAAGATCTCTACAATGAGAACTACAAATCATTGCTGAGAGAAATTAAAGAGGAAACAAAAAGATGGAAAGATATTCCATACTCTTGGATTGGAAGAAGTAACACTGTGATAATGTCCATACTACCCAAAATGATGTACAGATTCAAGGGAATCCCCATCAAGATACCAATGACATTCTTCACAGAAATAGAAAAAAACAATCCTAACATTCATACGGAACAACAAAAGACCCCAAATAGCCATATTATATTACAAAGCTATAGTAACCAAAACAACATGGTACTGGCATAAAAATAGACACAGACACTCAGCCCACTGGACCAGAACATAGAACCAGAAGTCAACCCACATACTTACAGTCAACTGATCTTTGACAAGCACAACAAGAACATACACTGGGGAAAAGACAGCCTCTCCAATAAATGGTGCTGGGAAAACTGGACATCCATATGTAGAAAAATAAAACTAGATCCATACCTCTTGATGTATACCAAAATTGATTCAAAATGGATTAAAGACTTGAATACAAGACCTGAAACTATAAAACTTCTCAAAGAGAACACGGGGAAAACACTTCAGGAAGGAGTAGGCAAAGACTTTATAAAACCAAAAGTACAGGCAACAAAAGAAAAAATTAACAAATGGAATTATATCAAACTAAAAAGCTTCTGCACAGCAAAAGAAACAATTAACAGAGTGAAAAGACAACCCAAAGTATGGTAGAAAATATTTACAAACTATGCATCCAACAAGGGATTAATATCCAGAATAAACAAGGAATTTAAACAATTACACAGTAAAAAAACAAATAACCCAAATAAAAAATGGGCAAAGGAACTGAATAGATATTTTTCAAAGGAAGACATGTAAATGAGCAACAGTAGTTGAAAAAATGCTCAACACCACTAATCATCCAGGAAATGCAAATTAAATCCACAATGAGATATCATCTCACCCCAATTAAACAGGCCATAATCAAAAAGACTGAGAATATCAAGTGTTGGCAAAGATGCAGGGAAAGGGAAACACTCTTTCACTGTTTGCAACACTATAAATTAGTGCAGCCATTATGGAGAATAGTATGAAGCTTCCTCAAACAACCTTGAATAGAACTGCCATAACATGCAGCAATCCCGCTGTTGGGTATATACCCAAAAGAATGGAAATCACCATGTCAAAGGGATACCTGCACTCCCATGTCTATTGTGGCTCTATTTACAATAGCCAAGAGTTGGAACCAACCTAAGTGTTCATCATCATACAACTGGATAAGGAAGATGCGGTATATATACACAATGGAATACTACTCTGCCATAAAAAAGAATGAAATTCTGCAACATGGATGAACTTAGAGAAAATTATGTTGAGTGAAATAAGCCAGGCACAGAAAAAAAAAAATACAGCATGTCCTCACTCATAAGTGGGAGCTAAAAAAAATAAAATAAAATAAAGAAAAAGAAAGATACAACAATAACAATAATTCATTGAATTTTCAAAAGAAGAGAACAGAACTGAGGCCACAAGAAGCAGGAAAGGGGAAAAGGGTATTAGGCCTCACTATCAGCTTAGCATAAACACTGCCATGCTAACTGCTTCCTCACCATGCCCTCTATTCCCTCTCCTTCTCTTAAGCAAGCACTTCCCAAGAAAAACCCAATTTTGTGCAAAACAGAATCTTGTGCAGAACAGGAAAACTACGGAGCTGTTACAAAGTGCTCAAAATAGCTACCAAACCCCTTCCCCTAATTCAAACCCTGTAAAATCTCTACTAGTCTGTACGGGTGCGGGAACTGATCTTTCAGTCTCCCCTCCAGGTTCACTGGAAATAAACTCTTCGGCATGATAAACATTTGGCTCGGAGTCCTTTGATCCCTTAGTCTTGCCAACCGAATGACGGTTAATGAGAAATTGATAAAGGGCCACAAAAATGATTACATGTGTTATGTTGAATATACTAATTATCCTGATTTGAGCATCACATATTGAAGATAGGTATGGATATTCAATGCTGTATCCCATGGATATATACAATCAATTATGTTTCAATAAATAAAAAAAGAAAGGAAAAAGAAAAAAAGGAATTAATATGTTTTTTCTTTCAGATTTAATGCTTAACTAAGAAATCCAATAACAGGAGCATGTACAAATTTCACTGTAATTAGATTCTGAGAGAAGGCTACTGCTTTGACAGTCTCAATATATAATTCTCCTTCTGTGTACTGCATTACAATCAAAAAAGGTGATACTGGCTGAATTTTATATATTGTAGAAATTTCAAATCAATTTTTTTAATTTGTTTATTTTAACATTTACTTGTACATATTTGTGGGGTATGGTATGTTTCTTCAATACATGCATATACTGTACATTGATTCACTTAGGGTAGATAGCATAGCTTTGTACTCATTAATCTGCCACTTCCCCTAGCTCCAGCCCTCCCTCCCCTCCCCAGCCTCTGGTAACCATTATTCTATGCTCTACTTCTATGAGAACCACTTAGTTAGTTAGTTAGTTACTTACTTACTTACTTACTTACTTACTTACTTACTTACTTACTTACTTATAGGAT